AATTCAAATGTCATGGAGCCACAGTTAGGATAACACAAGTTTTAGCCTCCTCCACATTAAAGGATCAGAGGGTTCAGAATATAATATTTCAGAAAGCAAAGGAGCTAGGATTACAACCAAGAATCACATACCCAGCAAAATTAAGTATAATCCCTCAGGGGGGAAATGTATATTTAACTAAACAGAGGTCTTTCAAGCATTCCCAATGAAAAGACCAGAGCTTAAAAGAAAATTTCATCTTCAAATACAAGACTCAAGAGAAGCATAAAAAGGTAAATAAGAAAGAGAAATCATAAAGGATTCAATAAGGTTAAACTATTCACATTCCTGCATAGGAAAATGATACTTGTAACTCCTAAGAACTTTCTCATTATTAGGACAGTTAGAAGGAGTATACATAGACAGGGGGCATGGGTGTGATTGACTATAATGGGACGATAGCTAAAGAAATAAAATTATGGGTGAGAAAGAGGGATCCACTGGAAGAAGGGGGAAGGGAGAGGTAGAACGGGGTAAATTATCTCACATAAAAAGGGTGTGAAAGAGCTTATATAATGGAGGGGAAGATGGGGATGGGCAGACAACACTTGAACCATACTCTTATTGGGATTTGGTTCAAAAAGGAAATAACATACACATTCAGTTGTGTTTAGAAATCTATCTTATCTTACAGGGAAGTAGGAGGGGAATGGATTAAGAGAAGGAAGGGGAGCTGATGGAAGGGAGATCAGATTGGAAGAGACAGTGGTCAGAAGCAAAACACTTTTGAGGAGAGACAGGGTAAAATGGGAGAGAAGGATAATCAGACAAAAATGTAAGATGGAGGGAAATGTACAATAATCGTAACTGAAAAAAATTACATCAAGTTTCTCTGATAAAGGCCTCATTTCTCAAATATATAGAGAACTGAGTCAAATTTATAAGAATACAAGTCATTCCCCAGTTGATAAATGGTCAAAGGACATGGACAGGCAGGTTTCAGACAAAGAAATTGGAGTTATCTATAGTCATATGAAAAAATGCAAATTAAAACAATTCTGAGGTACCACCTCACACCTATCAAATTGGCTAATATGACACAAAAGGAAAATGACAAATGTTGGAGGGGATGTGAGAAAATTAGGACACTAATGCACTGTTGGTGGAGTTGTGAACTGATCCAACCATTCTGGAGAGCAATTTGAAACTATACCCAAAAGGCTATAAAATTGTGCATACCCTTTGACCCAGCAATACTACTACTGGGTCTGTATCCCAAAGAGGTCAAAAGAAAATGCTTATATGTACAAAAATATTTATAGCAGCTCTTTTTGTGGTGTCAAAGAATTGAAAACTGAAGAAATGCCCATCAATTGGGCAATGGCTGAACAAATTTTGGTATATGATTGTGATGGAATATTATTGCACTGTAAGAAATGACAAGTAGAAAGCTTTCAGAAAAACCTGCAAGGACTTATGTGAACTGATGCAAAGTGCAATTAACAGAACCAGGGGAACAGTGTACACAGTAACAACAATATTGTACAATGATCAACTGTGAATAACTTACCTATTCTCAGCAACACAGTGATCCGAGACAATGCTGAAGGACTTAAGATAAAAAATGCTATCCACCTCCAAAGAAGGAACTGAGGGAGTCTGAAAGCAAATAGAAGCATACTTTTAAAATTTTTTCTTTATTTTTTGGGAGAGATTCCCTGAGTCTGTATTTGCTTTAACATGACTAATACTGAAATAAGCTCTGCATGACTGCCCGTGCATAACCTATATCAAGTTGCTTACCTTCTCAATGAGAGGGAAGGGGCAAGAAGGAGGGAATTTGGAACTCAAAATTTTAAAAAGTGTTAAAAATTGTATTTACATGTAACTGGAAAAAACCTGTTTTAAAAACTGAAAACCTTCCATGTACTATAACTTCTATTAATAACTTAAAGAGTTTTGAGTGAGATTTTTAGTATGTTATTTGAGAGAAAGATGCACACTAAAGAATCTGATCATAACTTTGGTTTATATCTTTTTTCATCTATAGCTTTTAATTTTTTTTTAATTTGGGACCTGGCTATCAGCCTATACTAGAGATGATCCCATTAAGTTTAAAATAAATTTATTTTTGATACAACATTAGTATTTTATTTACCTTTGTATTATCTATAACACAAATATTTTAATTTTTTAAATTATTCTTTCATTTATTATATTTATTTATGGAGTTACTTTTTTAAAGTGGAAACTTTTTATTTTTAAGAATATTTTATTTTTCCTAATTACATGTAAAAACAATTTTCACCATTCTTTGTTTTTAAGTTTTGAGTTCCAAATTCTATCCCTCCCTCTCTCCCTCTTTCCCCTTTCCCTGAGATGGTAAACAATCTGATATAGCTAATACATATACAATCATGTAAAAACATTTCCAGATTAGTCATTTTGGGTAAGAAGACTTGAACAAAAAAAAAGTAAGAAAGAAAGAAAGTGAAAAATAGTGTGCTTCAGTCTGTATTTAGACATCAGTTCTTTCTCTGGAGATGGATAGCATTTTTCATCATGAGTCCTTTGGAATTGTCTTGGATCATTGTATTGATGAGAATAGCTAAGTCATTCACAATTCTTCATCATACAATATTGCTATTACTGTGTACAATGTTCTCATGGTTCTATCCACTTCACTATGCATCAGTTCGTGTTAGTCTTTCCAGGTTTTTATGAAATCATCCTGCTTGTCATTTTTAAGATAAACTGTTTTTTTTAGGCTAGGCAATTGGGGTTAAGTGACTTGCCCCGGGTCACACAGCTAGTACATGTTATGTGTCTGAGGTCAGATTTGATCTCCAGGTCCTCCTGACTCCAGGCCAGTGCTCTATCCACTGTGCCACCTAGCTGCCCCAAGATAAACTTTTTAAAGTAAAATAAGATACTGAAAGTCAGTATTGTTCTTTTATTCCATTCTGATTGTTTATGCTAATAATATTCTATAAAACATGGGTCTCCACAATTTAAATTGAATTAATTGCAATTAGTTGCTTTTGAGTTTTGATGCACCCTACATTTTTCAAGGTCCAGCTCAAGTGCCTCCTCTTCCAAGAAGTCTTCCCTGATCCCTCTACATGAAAATGATCTCTCCCTTCTTAAATTACCCATAGTACTTTGTCAGGTTTTCTCCTTTGCCTTTAACACATCCTAGCTATGTAAAGGGCTTTTCCAACATTAAACTACTATGTAAATTATAGCTATAACCATTATTGTTATTACCATGAATCATTCTTATTTATTTATATTATATTATAGATATTATAGCCTTCTCAGTTTGCAGTCATTTTCAGAACTCGTTCAATGTCATTTTTAAACTTTGAGTCCCTATCATTTATCACAGTCCTGCGTAGCATAGAAATGCTTAATAAACATCCTCCTTCACTAATAAATATTTGTCTAATTGAATTGGCTAAAAACAGCTCTGTATTTTACCTTTCAGCAAAATTTTCCTCCAAGTGCCTCATCATAGAATGTGTGCTAAACCGGGGTGATCTGGAGCTGGATAAATCAAGTTCTATTTGCAAGGCACTAACCACAGTCCCTGGCACCTAGGAGGCACTGTATAAATGCTTATTCCCTGCCCCCTTTCCCTTTCATTCACATGTGAGGAAACTGAATGTCAGGGAGCCCAAGGTCCCTTACTAACCCAAGCTAGTAAGGGTCAGTGGTGGGATGATTAATTGTGTGTCTGTCACCTGAAGACTGGTCTAGCAAAGTCCTGATGTCTCTAATTGTCTTTATCAGAGCAATTCAAGGAGAATTTCTTCTAAAGTTTAGATGTGTTGTAGTCGGCATTGGTGGAGAAAATATCCACATTCAAATTTACACCACTCCATGCATATACTGGACATGTCAACCAAAATGACCTGTCATCTGTTCACTCTACACATCTCGTTTCCTTCTGCCATGCCTTTGCCATGCCCCTCCTCACTTCTGTCTCTTGGAATCCTTAACTTCCTTGAATTTCAAGTGCCACTTCCTACAGGCCACTTCCTACAGGCCAGAATGTTGGACATGGAATCAAGAAGAGCTGAGTTCAAATCCTGCCTCAGAAACTTACTAGCTGTATGACCCTACACAGGTCATTAACTTCTCTTAGTCTTAATTTTATCATCTATAAAGCAGACATAATAATACCACCTGCCTCACAAAGTTATTGAGAGGATCAAATGAAATAGCATATGTAAAATGTTTTGAAAACCTTTAAGTGTTATATAAATGCCAAGTCATTATTACTATTATTGCTCCCCAAAATTAACTTTGAATTTACCTTGTATATATGTACATACATATGTACATACATAATATAAAATAGCTTACATTTATAAAGTGCTTATTATATGACAGAACTGTGCTAAGTGCTTTACAATTATTATCTCATTTGATCCTCATAATAAACAGCAGGTTGAATCTAGGGCCGAATTTGAACTCAGGTTTTCCTGACTCCAGGCCTGACCCTCTATCCACTTTGCTACCTTGCTGCCCTCTTTGAAGGAAAGGACTATTTCCTTTGTGTCTTTGTATGCTCACACAGCACGAAGTCCTTTGCATAGTAGATACTTAATAAGAGCTTACTGAATTAAATTGAATTAAAAAAACATGGGTCTTATAAGTTTTGAAGTTTGCATCTTACCAATATTTTCCAATACTTAAAGGAGCTCTGATTTCACTGGTGTAACTACTCCTCCACCAATACAGGCTGCAACCTCTCAATAACTTACCAGGTGTTTCTGTAGCTGAAAAACTCATCTTCCTGAAGCCATGAGCCTCTCGAACCTTTGTGAGACTGATCCCAGGATAACATTCACCCTCAGTTGCTGTCCCCACACTCGAAGATTTTCTAGCTTTGTAGGACCTGTTTCAACAAGGCAGTATCGTCTCCTAGCCACTATTAGGAGTAGGACTGTAATGGAAGATATTTAACAAAAATGCTTTCAATATTTCTTTTTTTTCCTCTCTCTCTCCCTGAACAGAGTTCTAAAAAAGTGGAAAGTGTACTTAATAAAGATCATCAAAGCAAGGGAATTTGTAGAAATAAGGAGGAAAGTGTCCTGGATCTAGATTTTGTGCCAAACCCAATGCCAACTGGTGCACGACCGAAGATGAAAGTAAGTGGCTGTATTACAGCATATTCTTTCTAATGTACTGAGCACCACCAAAGCAATGTTATTTATCATGAGGGAGAAATAACACTGTGTATACTTCATTGGTGTTGCTTTCAATTAACTATATCACATGCCCTGACAATGTTTTTTCATCATGGCATGCATATGTAGGTATGTATAAAGAAAAACTAATTCTTAACACAAAGAGAGAAGGGAGAAAAGTACAGTATGTGGTTGTTATCTTGTTCATAGACAGTGGCTAGTCCAGTATGGTGAAGGGAGAGATATCAGCTGCTGTGTGTAACCAGTTAACTCTTGACTCTCAACAATTATTCTCTGAGTCCATCCAGTAGTCTCATACTATCCGCAGCTGTCCGTCTGTGGATTTTCTACAGTTCAACGGCACAATCCACACTGCTCAAAGTCTCAGGAAAGAGCCATCTGGTATGGGAGAAACCAGATCCACCAGCCACCATCTGCTGCATAGAATTTTATATATTTGCATAACCCTCTGCCTTCTCTTTTCCAAAAGAAATCATTCTCATTCTTTTATTTTGTTTACATGTTACTTAATAAGGATTGAAGAGCATTGTATTTGAATCATCCTTATCCATCTAATTTTCCAAACTTGTAGTCAGTTCTGTGATGATTGAAATCACTAAATCCATTGTAAGTGCCTCACAACACTTGTTGGTTATGGAACCCCTAAGTAAGTAGAACCTCTATATTTGAACCAGTTTGGGTTATAGAGAGAAGCTTGCTTTGTGAAATAATGATTTAGTAGAACCATTTTGGGGATCTTCTGAGGCATCCTCTTATCAATTCCTTTCAATATTATATTAGCTTTAAAAATTAATATTTTATTATTAACCAATATTGAAATTGTGGTCTACTAAAAACCCTGAGATTTTTCTTTTGTACTTGTACCTGACCAGTCAGTCATTCCCACCCTGTCTCCTAGACATCAATCCATAAGTCCCTAACATTTTTCTCTATTGAGTTTTATCTTGTTTTTGACAGGCAAATTAAGTAATTTTTCATGAAATGAAATTTAATTCTTGAATTCTTAGATATTCTGATAGAATGTAAGTTCCTTGAGGGCAGGGACTGTTTTGCTTAGCATTGTGCTAGGCACACAGAACACAATAAGTGCTTTTTGTGTGATTGAGGTGTTAGCAAACTTAGTTAAAGTAATGTCATATGAAGACTTAATCACCACATTTTTATTTCCATTAGACAAACTGACTTGTGGGAGGAACATCATTCAAAGTTTTGTTTGTTTTTTACTTACACCCAATATATTTTTTCTCTCTACTTATCTGCTTTTCTTTATGTCTTAGTTTTTAAAAAGTTTTGATGCCATGTTTTAATATCATAATCATTTTAGAATAGACCTCCTCTCCCTCTCCCTACCCCACTCTCAATGCTCCTTCTTTTGTAACAGAGCAGTTAAGCAAAACCAACTGACAAAGTGACTATTTCTGCAAACATAGGTTTGAACCCATGTCCCCAGCAGAAGGAAGGAGATACATCTTCTCAGACCTTCTACAGTCCCAAGCTCTTGCCATACGCCGCCACTAACTTAGTTATTTCATTTGTCTTTTTGTCTCATCTAAAGGGTCTTTAGTTCATCAGTTGTATTAAAATTAGTTTGACTCCACATGTGACTTTAGGCAAGTTATTTAACAACCTGGGCTTTAGTTCCCTCAAATGTAAAGTGAGGGAGCTGGAGTGGACGGCGTCTGAGGCCCCTTCCAACGAGGGCTCCAAATGGGCTGATGCTCCTATGGTCCAATGACAGCACATTTCTTCTATGCACTTTTTTCTACTTGAGTTTGTACATCTTTGAACGTACACAAACTCCTTAAAAGAGATGCCAATGAGAGTTTCAACTCAGTGAACTGGGAAGACAAAAAAAAGGGCCACTTGCGTTTGGCAAAGATCCACTAACTTAACAACAAGCACCTCTTTGGTTTCTTTATGATATGTACAGTTTCATCAAGTTGGTATCTCTGAGATGGGCATAAGAAATTCACTTCTGTCTGATCTCATCTATTTGATCAAGATGTTCCTAAACTAAAAACAAAATACTTATGGAAAATCATATCTCACACACACACACACACACACACACACACACACACACACACACACACACA